TAATAAGAATAATGATTGGAGTGGGCCCAACTCATACATGTAGAGATTTATTTAAAAAGCTTGACATACTACCAATCCCATGTGCATATTTGCTCTCATTGATGATATTTGTCAATAATTTGGATGAGTTTCAAACCAATAACTCTGTATATGTCATTGGTACCAGCAGGAATGACCACCTTCATATACCTTCAACACATTTATCATCCTATCAGAGAGGGGTGTATTATTCAGGCATCACACTATTTAATGCTCTGCCATCAAATATCACAGTTTTAAAAAATGATAAAAAACAATTTAAGTTTGTTTTACAAAATTATTTGCAAAGTAACACATTTTACTCTATTGATGAATTTGTCGAGCATGTAAGTGGCTCAAAAGTTAAAAGAGTTAATAATTATTAACGCACACAGAACATTATAATGTTCTGTGTGCGTGAATTATACAGTGTTGAGACTTGATTGTTGTAAGTGTAGTAGTATGTATGATGTCTATTTTTTGTTATGAATTTTAATATTTTACAGTGTAACTGTTTGGATGATATGGCTTGCCAGTGTGTGTGGAATGGCAAGGTGTGAATTTGATTGTGGGTTTTCCATTACCTTTGTATGTTGTCATGACAACTTGAGCTATTCTGTGTGAGGCTTGATTTTATATTTGGACCAAGGATGAATGATGTGTAGTCATCATGAATTTGTAATATGTGACATGTTTTATATCCATCCCTATGGGGAGATGATTGGATCCATGAAATGAAAAATTAAATGTAAATGTAAAGTCTACAATTTTTAATCACTAGGGACCGGATTTTTATGCCCTAATAATGCCTTAAATATGTATGCATTTATGCATGAAAAACTTCCAAAATATTCACTAAAATATGCACATAAAAATTTATACAAAATATTAAAATTGATTTTACATTAATTTAAGACCAACAAATCAATATTTAAGTTCATTTTATGTAATCACTGAATGATTCACTTGCAATAAAAAGCTATACTTAAATACAAATCATGCAACAAAGCCAACATATTTCATTACAAATTTAAAAAATCAGTGATATCCGCATTTAGCTCTCCAAACTTTCAACTTCTCTTTTGTTGCAGTTCACAGTTACTAAATGTTTTAGGTTTTCCATAGTTAGTCGCCTCCTATTGTCTTGTAAGATGTCCTTATAGGGGGAAAAACTTCTTTCCATCTCACAGGAACTTATGGGCGAATGTACTAAAACCGCTATTTGCTCCATTCTTAGTGATTTCTTGCTTGGCAGTTCAGTACGTTTGCCAGGAACTGAATTCAATTTGGAAACGGTGGTTTTGAACACACTTACTGACTGATACAAACTAGTATTGCTATTGCTTGCCTCCAATGAGGAAATGGTGGATGGAAGATGAAAGAAGTGAGCAGATATATAGGAAAGATTAGTTTCTAGTTCTGTGTTTTTTAGTAGATCTTGGACAATTTGAATTGATGCTGCACTTTTGGGATCAAATGTATTCACGACATTCCTAACTGTTTCTAAATGTTCGGTATAATTACTCGCTGCACATAGCCACGTGC